TGAAAAAAAAAATCCATATAAAATAAAAACGTCCAAAATATATCGTTTTAGTTTTACCTTTAAGTTTTTACACAAGTTTTTAAATATTTATAATCATATAATGTCAGATTTATATTTTTATGTGTTGTGTTTGTGGCATCGTTTTAGTCCATTTCCATTTGTGAAAAAAATTTAAAATTAAATTTTCCACATAAAATAAATTGGTTCAAAATACACCGTTTTTGCAATCAATATCATTGTTATCATATGTCTCTTTAATCTAAATAAATAAATGCAGAACTTTTGAGTTTTTACATTGTTTTGTTTTTTGTTATTGTTTTTTGTGTGACATTGTTTTAGTCCATTTGCATTTGTGAAAAAAAAAATCCATATAAAATAAAAACGTCCAAAATATATCGTTTTAGTTTTACCTTTAAGTTTTTACACAAGTTTTTAAATATTTATAATCATATAATGTCAGATTTATATTTTTATGTGTTGAATGTGTGGCATCGTTTTAGTTCATTTGCATTTGTGAAAATTACATTTTCCATGTAAAATAAAGATGTTCAAAATAAATAAACAAACAAATAAACTTTTACTGTAAACATTGTTGTATGTGGTGCTTTCACTGGCCGCGTGACGTCACCGGGGTGAATTGCGCAACCAGCAGGAATGTGTGGAGCAGGAAAAAAAAAACGTGTGGAGAGGGTGGAGTGATTCAACGCTTTATCTTCCGCTGACTTTCACATGTCAAAGGCAGACGTGTTCACATACCCCCTCGCCTCCTCCTCCTCTTCCTCCTCTTCCTCCCCCGCTTTCTTCCCCCGCTTTCTTCCCCTCGAGCCCCGCCTCGGGCACCAGCAGCACACCTGGAGCCCGGAGCGGCCGCAGCAGGTAAAGGTGAGGAGGTCGGTGTGGACTACGGCGTGTGGAGAGGACGCAGCGTGAGCGGAGGAGGTGGTGTCGGTGCTGGTGGAGGCTCTCCGGCTGTGTAAGGTGAGTGTCTGTGATTTCAGGGTGAGACGCTCCGGTGTACCGTCGGTCTACACGAGCCGGAAACTGCTCAAAAGTCAAGTCCACTGAAGTTTGTCATTTTGGATTTGGTCGGGAAGGAGGCAGTGTAAACTTTACCGTGTGTTAACCGCGACTCTGACGCATTTACGGCGCTGGAAAGAAAACGGATAAAATGGAGCAATAAGCAGCAAACAGCACAAAGTCCAAGAAAGCATATGTAAAAAATCACAGGTAACAGTTTTAAGTCATGTTCCTGGCTTCCTGTAGTCGACTACACGGTGTTAAACTTTTACTATATTGTAAACTTTATTTAAATTTCCTGCAGCACCACTGTTGCCATCATTTAAAGGTCGAGTTTCCTTCATGTGTGCATGCATGTGTTGACAGCTTTAAAAATGAGTTTTGTTCTTATTTTCAGGGTCATTGTCTCACTGTCTGTTTTCACAGAGATAAACAGGCAGCATGGGTGAGGCACCGGTCACAGAGGATGGCTCAGTGACTCGATCAGCAGAGGTAACTCCAGAATTGTAATATTATATTTCTATTTATTTATTTGTGTCTTGGTGTTTTGCCTATGAGCTTGGGTCTTTGCTGTCAAAGTATGTGGGGTCATTTCCTGTGGACGACCACTGTTTGGATGACCAGATAGAGCAGCTGCACTCTGAGCTGAAGTCCCTCAGAGTAAGTCTTAATCATCAGTGTCCCAAATAGCATCAACTTTAATGCAGAATATAATATCTAACCTGTCTGTTGTCTTCAGGCATGCAAAAGAAGGAGGTCCGTGTCTCTAAAATTCTCCATCAAAGGAGTGAAAATGTACAATGAGGATGAAACGGTGAGTATGACAACATGATGCACACACAAGCAGCTGATGAGTGTGTTAACCTCAAAGCATTAGAGGTTAAAGATGTGGTGTGTGTGTGTCACCCTGACTGTCTGCAGACGCTCCTGATGGCTCACGCTCTGCGGAGAGTCTCTCTGTCCACAGCCCGACCCGTCGATGCCCAGTTTGCCTTCGTCTCCCACAACCCAGGCAGCACTGACGCTCAGCTGTACTGCCACGTCTTTAAAGCGAGGCATGCCAGAGCGGTAAGAAATTTATTTCAACAAAAGTGCTTCTTAAGAGTTGTGTCTGCTGTTATGTGGAGAGAAAGTTACAGCTCTGAGTCCAACTTTAATTAAATTGTACTTTTTTTAGGGCAAATATGAAACACAGCTCTTAAATTTCTGGGATTTTGACATTATGGACTCATAAAAAGTGTATTTTAAAAAGACTTATGGATCAGTATGTGAGAATGGGCTGACTTGGGCAGCTTTTATTTCACACTCTATACCCTGTGCAGGGTCCTGAAATCAGCGACCCTCCAGTTCCCAAGCCAAGTCCCCACAGACTGCCCTCTAACAATTTAAACTTCATAGACTTGTGGTTAAAACCAACCTTGTTGCAAATAACACGTCATCTGCACGTAACCCTGATGGCATTCAGTTCTCCTGACTCGACCCTTCAGAGTCTGAAGTGAGACTTGCTCCAGAGTAGAGAGAAAAGGATTACTATAACCAGGGTTCCTATGCAAGTATGGAAAGTATGGAAAAGTATGGAAATAAATTTGATCAATTTCCAGGTATTAAAAAGTATGGAAAATGAAAAATAAAGTATGGAAAAATATTTGTTTCCAGACAATTACCACTGTTATAAAATACTGTTTTCTAAAATAGAAAATTAGGTATTTCCAAAAATAATTTACTCAATCCGGATCGTGTTTTATGCCGGGCCAAGCACAGTTTGTGTGAGAGCAAACGTCTCCTTTTACCTGATTGACAAGTGGTATGTCCAGTCCGCTGCCCCATGACCCTCCTCCAGCCCGCGAGGTATCAAGTTTCACTCCAACACTGCACCTTCGACAAGAAGACGAGTTTCACGTGGTTCACAATGGGTAGATGCAAGTTTTTGGATGGATGGCTTGACAATACCATATATAAATACTGGTTGGCCAAGGATGCCCAATTCACACACAGAGCTAGATGCAAGCTTTGTGTGAAATCGTTTGACATCGCCAACATGGGGGAGAAGGCGATTCTGAGCCACATGTAAGGAAAAAACACCGACGTCTCGTTACTGCATCGCTTGCTCCCAGAGTCCCAACCTTTTTGCCTCAGCTCAGACATTGAACTTAGCTGAGTTTTTATTTGCATGCCATTATGGTGCTTGGCTACAATCGCCTATTAAGAATAATTAAATATGATGTGAAATATGATACACTGATATATTTACTCAGATGTCGCATATTCTCTGAAAAAAANGAATAATTAAATATGATGTGAAATATGATACACTGATATATTTACTCAGATGTCGCATATTCTCTGAAAAAAAAAAAAAAACTGAGAAGTCTGGAAATAAGGGTATGGAAAAGTATGGAATTTTGAAATTCCAAATGTGTAGGAACTCTGTATAACAATGATGCCTTACATTGAGATATTAGACAGATATTAGGTTTTGTTGTTTTCACACTGGGAGCGAATAAAACAATTCGCGTGAATGAATTACATGTAAAGTCAATGTAAAGACACAATTAGCTGCAAATTTCCATCGGGCAGGGTGATGGACACGACACAAAGGACGTGAAATATGCGAATTAAGTAGTGCAAATGAAGCAAGTAGCATGATTTTGCCTGATAGGCTTATTCACGAGAGTTGAAAAATCTGAACTAAGGCGACCAATTCGTGCCTCAATAGCCAATCAGCATTGAGATCATCCGGGAACATATGATGCCAAGGAAGTACCAGTGGAAGTTCATTCATTCATTCAGAGATTTCACACGCGTATGAAGCGAGAAAGCACAAAATATTCCAGCTGTCAAAGTCGCGCAGGTAATGCATCATGAAAATTCACATTTGTGTTTGGTGTGAACAAAACATTAGACATTTTTGATCAGTATCTGCTGCCTGATTTAGCCAGGAAGCACTTTGACAGTGTAGTTTAAACTGTACCAATCACCTGGCAAAAAAAAGAAAAAGAAAAAGAAAATACAGCTATGTCACTTAACTTACAGAAATAGGTCTGATCTTTTGAAGTCGGGTTGTATGTGGGAATTCTCCGTAGTCAGTGTATTATACACAGCCGAAGTTAGTCGGCACGCCCCTAGTTTGTAGAAGCAGGCAGGAGTACTGCCACAGTATTTTAGCCACCTAAAAATATTAATAGAGAACGTAAAGGTATGCCATGCCATGTAGAACGTGGGTTTCATTTTGTGTGGTACGTGCACTTTGTCCAAAAACAAGATAGTTTACAATATCTGGGTTTGTGAGTGGAAGTAGTGCATTGAGTTCTGTAATCCAACCTCGGGCTGTCAAGTCATATTGATCTGTGTTGTTTGTCGTGATTAGTTTGCACAAATACTGTTGCTTGATGATCGTAGCAGGCACAGATAACACAGCATGATCCCCTCAAGATGGCGCTCTCATCCCAAAAATTGAACACAGCGTGCCGGACGTCAGCTTCATATTTTCTGTAACAGTTTGAGTGTGCACTACACTGAGAATATTTTCACCGCTCTACCGTGCTGCAAACAGCCCTTTCTGGCCGGAGATGCCGTTACGACTTCTGTTCCCCATCTATACTCTTGTCAAGCCACCAGGTTCCTGGTGCCTCCAGCTTGCTGAATACAAGAGCTGCTGGTCTACCACTGCTCGATTAGTTAGTTTGTGGTATTGTGTGAATTTGGTAAATCCAAACTCCTCTTTTAATGCCAAAGTCACACAATAACACAGACTAACTAACTGATCGAGGCAGGGGTATACCAGCAGCTCCTGTGTTCAGCTATGTTAAATTACAGTTTTTCTCAATGGAGTCAGGCTGTGAAGAGAACAAGATGTCTGCTTCAGTTCCCCATTGAAATTGCTGTCTGATGGTGAGGTAAAGCAGTGAAAATCAACTTTTTTAGGTGGCTTAAATATGTTTTGCTGGTGCTCCCATCCACAACAGTACATTGCTTAGCTTGCATGTGGTCACTCCTGCCTTCTTCTCCAAACTGGGGAGGGGCCGTAACGGTACATGTATTTGTGTCGAACCGTTCGGTACGCGACTTTCGGTTCGGCACAACCCTGTACCGAATTATTGGGCGCAGGATATTATTTTATTTTATTTTGTTTTATTTTAATTCCGTTTTTGCGAGCCGAACCATTTAAAATATCTAGTTCCCCGACGGACATAATTGAGTGACGGACCGAGTCGGACCGTAAATCTCCGCTTTCACTTTGTGCAGCGCATTCTCGCATTCTCGCATTTTGACAACATGGCAAGTGAGCCTGACGAACCTGAAGACCCACCCGCAAACCTTAAGTCCTCCGTTTGGGAACACTTTGGTTTCAGGGTAAAATACGAAGATGGAAATAAACAAGTGGACAAGACAAAAGCAGTGTGCCGACACTGCAGAACAGCGGTCGGGTATGCACTTGGAAACACGTCTAACATGCTAACACATCTAAAGCGACACCACCCGAGTTTGAACGTTAACCGGCACGACTAGAAAAAGCAATCTGGTGCAAACTACAATATTGTCGTCGTTTAAAAAGAGAGAGCGTTTACCTGACCATCGCACTAAAGAAATAACCAACGCCATTGGAGTTGAGTAAAATTGTTTAAGCTGCACTTTAGATATAAGCATGTTTTGTTTACTGCACTTTAACAAAGTGGGAAAGCTAAGTAAGTTCCTAGTAAAACTGAATCTGAGCAGGCTTTAAAGCTGACCAGCTGCACTATACTTTTTATTTTAACTGAGTAAAACTGTTTAAGCAGAAATGTATATTTATATTTTTCATTCAAAAAATGTGTTAAAAAAACAGCAGGATTTTATTTTTCACTTTTATATTTCTATTTTCATTCAAACAATGTGAAAAAGCAGGATTTTATATATATTTGTTACATTCAAAAATTGTGTAAAAAGAATTAACTGCTGTGGTGGTATGTTTTAATAAGGTTACCATTAAGTAAAAGATATTTAATAGTTGTCTATTTTTTTCATTACTGTACCGAAAAAAACGAACCGTGACTTGTGTACCGAGGTACGTACCGAACTGTGATTTTTGTGTACCGTTACACCCCTAACACTGACTATGGATAAGTGCCTCATACAGCCCCACTTCAAAAGATCCAAACAATACCAACAATACTGCTTTCTCTCCTGTAGGCGCAGTTCCTGAACCTGCTGCTTTGCCGCTGTTTTCAGCTGTATTACTTGGAGAAGCACCCAGACGAGACGCAGGAAGACTCTGCTGGCTCAATGCCTCGTCGCAACCCCTCCCTACTTAACCACGGCTTCCCTCTCAGTGTTAGTGCCCTGGTGTCTTTCAGAAGAGCCCCATTTCGAGGGTTGTTGCCAGGGACTAAGGTTTGGACTTAAATGTCTTCTGGTATTAACTTGCTGAGTATGATTGTAATAACTCAACCCCAGTATTACCCATAATTTTATTTTCCCCCCTCCATCTACAGAAGAGTAAAAAGTCTTCCGATGACCCGCAGAGCAGCCAAGATGAAGTCTTCCCCACCTCCTCCCCCTCCCTGGTTCGCAAGAAGGCCATCCGCAATAAAGTGCTGCGCTCTGGGGCGTACCGCTCCTTCACTTTCACACCACTCAAACAGCGTAACATTCAGGAGCGACTGAATGTGTCACAAGGTGGGCCAGGTGTTCACAGAGCGCTTTCAAGAGTCAAAGAGTTGATTAGGTAAAGCAAACCCCTCAGTGTTTAGGTGACGGGCAGCCACTCACTGTCTTGTTGTGGTGTCAGAAGGTATATTTTGGAGTTCAGATCACTCAATAAGGTGATGGATAATGGTCTCGTCACACGTGGGTCATACTGGATGCACATTTTCTTAAAGCTTCTCACTGTTGAGCCTCTTACACTGATGGTAATTTGACTCTAAAGCCCAGTTCAGACCAAAGGTTCGTGACAAGATGAAACTGTTTTAGAACTTTGCAGAGAAAAGTTGCAGCAGTGTGAACTCGCCGTCTGAGCTTGACTCAGCTGGTTTTAGAAAGTAAAAGCACGTCACCTGTTTCTACAGCCAATCGGATGTAATGAAGTCCGCTGGTCGAGTCAAAATGACTACAGGTGGTGTGTTTGCTTGCGGCGGCAGGGGCTCCGTCCCCACCAAGTCCTCTGTTTCAGTCCTCATGATGTGCCGATGTCAGAAGCTGCTTGCTCTATGTGCTTATGCCCCGCCCACACACACATTTTATTGATAATGATTAATCGGCACTGGTTATTTATATTCTTGTGGCATATTTACTATGAATCCTCATTTCATCACTACCACGATGCAGCTGTAGCCAGTATCTCACTATCACTATCCTCATTCATATTTTAAGAAACTGGAATTAATATTCAGCCACAAAATCAGCCTGAAAAGCTGGAAATCAGAATGGAAGTACAGAGAGTTGTTGCATAGAGATGATACACCATCTCATCTAGTTGCATTGGTGTGAACTGGCAGGTTTTAAGAATGTTGCAGAGCATCACACTGCAAGTAGCTGCCTGTTTCAACGTGTCTCATTGTGAATCTTTGGTCTGAACTTGGCTTTAGCTGTAACGTGTTAAAACACCAATTTTGTTTTTATGGGTTATTTTATTACCTCTTGCTCTGTTTGGTTCGGTCTTGTTACATTTTAAACCAAACATTTCCTTCACAGAGTTGGGAGTACACTGAATGTTTCCCCACGCAAACGCACTTCACTTGTTATGTAAACATCTCCTAATTCACAATGATTTCCCTTCTGAATCAGGAAAAGACCAAGACAAGAAGCAAGTGAAGAGATCCCGTACTCCCAGTTTGGCCGAAACAGAAGAAGCACTGGCTCAAGCAGTGTGGTGTTGGGCTGGTGTCGCAACGTGAGTGTCACTCATGCATTTAGTGTCAATGTCTTCACGAGCCCATATTTTTTCTTGAGTTCGTCAAAGGTTTTCTAAGACGCGTATCTTGTATTTCAGTGACAGCAGCTACTCCCTGCTTGCAGACGATGTTCTGGGATCGTATCTTCTGTGCCCACATCCTAAAAAACCCAAATGTGGCTCTCTCATTGTTCGCTTCCCCTCAGGCCTGGTCACCCACCTCATAGAAAACACCCGTAAAGGGAAATTCCTGCTGGAGGTATTTGTTTTATCAATGTTCAGTCTTACTTATACATAATTATCAGTCGACAGTGAGTCTGCCAGGATAATACTTGCATAGAGCTGAAGTGGAAACAAAATCTTCAGATGTAACCTGAACTACTCCCCAGACGTGGGGAGTGGTTGGTGTAAGGCTGTTGGAAAGTTTAAATGGTCTTAAATTTAAAATTTTTGTGCTAAAATATAAGTATTTGGACTTATTTATTGTGCAAAACCCCATAAACTTAGCACTGAGACAACCATAATAATTCCACTGAAACCAAGAATAATTAAGTTATTGTTGCATTTCTTGGAGATGTTTTGGCAAACTGATAATTCTGTGTAACCCTGGCTTTGACTTCTGATTTTACAGTAATTTTTTCCTGTTTCTTTGGTTTATCTTTGTGGCAGAAATGCAAGACAGAGTTCAGCTCCATCGCAGAGCTGATTGAATTCTACACAGAAATCCAGGGTGAGCTGCCATGTCTGCTGAGCTGTGCCCGCGTAAACCACTGTTACGAGTGGGAGGAAAATACTGGCAAACAGGAGGCTGTGAAACCACACAAGAGCCTGAGCAAAGCCAAACTTAAAAGTACCCACAGACAGAACTGGGTTTAACCCTGGAGACTGGAACTTGTGGATTGCCAACCTCAGAATAAGTGACGCCTTTTCTTACTTTGCACATATGTATATTAACTTTAAATCACTTTGGTGTTTTTGGGAGGATCCACAAACTGTGTAACACACTGCACCTAATAACAGTGTTGTCACTTAATGTTTATAGTAGACAAGCCATTTCATCAAAGGGTACTTTTTTGGTTTATATTTTAAAGGTGTAATATTTTGTACTTGCTGCTTTCTGGTTTTCAATATAATATTTTTAAAGAATATTTTTATTTGTGCCTATAAGGCATCAGAGTTTATATGCGTTTTTAAGACATGAAATAAATTGAAACTGTGGAGTGGAATATATCGCACACAGAGTTGGCAAAGCCATACTTTTTTTTTCTTGCATTGCAAAGATGCTGCACAAATATATTTGATCAAATTTTATTGAATTTTAATTCTGCTTACATGTTAGTCTTTATGTGTTTCAACATTAGACCGATGATGTGTGCTGATATAAAAACATGACACCAATATTTTCTTTTTCTTGACACCTCAGTGTATTAGTGCACTTATCATGGCCACTGAAAGGGGACATGTTCATGTTTTCTGTGTTTTAAAGTTATATGTAGTCAAAGTTAACTGGTGATTTTAACTGCTAATGTTTGTAAGCAGTTTAATATACTTGGCACACTGATTTTCAACAGTGGTTTAAAGCTAGGTCTTCGTCATATGATTGTGAGGTTGTTTTCTGGTTCAAGAGGCTATATACAATGTAAGTAACTAATTTGTGTACCTTCCATGTACCATCCTTTCAACAGTAGGCCAACAGACAATTTTCATATTGCTCACTTCTGTTTGAGATTAAACGACAGGTGTTCTCTATTTTCAACCCTGAAAAAAATGTTTTCCGTTATTTCTGACTCTGCATGGCACAACCACACCTGCAGCTTTGGTATTGGAAAAAGATGCTACCGGCTGCTGTGAATTAATAGGCAACTTATACTGTACACAGCTTCTAAATCTCAGGGCAGAACTTCACATGGGATTGCTTGATGGGTGAATAGGGTCACAGGAGATTTCTACACTGATACTTAGTGGCCAGTTTGTTGGTTACACCCAGCTTCAGCTTCAGCTCAGTTTTTGTTTAGTGTTTTCAAGAGATGTTGATTTACCTTTATGATTTTTATGGAGGCCTCAGTTTGTGGTGCTGTTGAATTTGTATTGCTACATTGTTTGTCTTTTTTTCCACTTTTAAGTCAATAATACGCTGGATAACACCTCTTTGTATAATGCAATACTGTTAAACAGAACCAAAAACTGTATCCTCCAAAATAATCCTAAAGTTAAATGAACACATCTCTAAAACCGTTTCAATAAAACCTTAACATTATGACGTTCATTAATGTAGAAATTATTGTAGGACTGTTGTTCTGAGACTGCATTAGTTTTAGCTAAGTGTACCTAATAAACTGGTATCTGAGGGTATTTGTTGAATACATTTTTAAAAAACCATTAAATAAGTTTGAAATATATTAATATTATAATTTCTTGTAATGGGTTAATGATGTTGTATAGTTTAACATTTATTCCACTGTGAAGGCAATAAAACCCCATCATCCAGTGTGTAATTTAACACTTCTTGTGACTTTGGCTTCCCAGCATTTAGTTTAAATGAGAATAAACTAGAATGAAATATGCTGTCATATAGAGTCTGTCTTTGAAAAAGTAATCTTTACAACCAGAGATCACATACAAATGGAATAAGATTTATCTCAATGTCCAAAATTTGTTCCATTGTTGATAGCCATGGAATAGCCTAGGTTACATTTTGATACTAATATTTTTGTACTTGAGTAAGATTTTGAATGTAGGACTTTTACTTGAAAGAGTGTACTTCTACACTGTAATGCTATTACTTTTACATAAGCATAAAATATTGAAAATATCTGCTAGCCTATATCAAGATTTGGATTTAAAAAATTGACTCACATCAAGTTTAGCTCCCTAGATAAAAAGATGGAAGGGAGAGGTAATGCTGAGGTAAAGTTGGATGGAGACACCATAAAATGTCATTAATGAAGGAACTATAGTCTTTCAAAAAAAAAAAAGTAACAAGAAACATTTTCTACAAAACATGATTTTACAGAGCCAAGTCCGAAAAGTGATTTTTTTTTTCTTGTGTGTACAAGTTATGGCTACAGTTAGGCCAGCGTTAATTATCTTGTGTGCATAAGACAATTTACTATGAATTATATGCATCACTAACAACTTATACCGTAGTGTAGACTGCATAGATATTGTTATGTAGAGATATCTTGTATAATTGCCCTTACCATTAGCCAAGGAAAATATAAATTACATTTATATTTAAAATATAAATTACATTTTCCTTGCCATGAGCCTGCTATATATTGTTCCATTTTTATGTGGTCTCTGATTGTAAAGATTAATTTTCAATGTCCAGAATTTGTTCTACTATTGATAGCCTAGATTTTGATGCTAATATTTTTGTACTTTTACTTGAATAAGATTTTGAATGAACTTTTACTTGTAAGAGTATTTCCACACTGTGATATTACTGCTTTTACTTAAGCATAAAATATGTGTAGTTACATCTTTCACCACTGAAGATATCTAGGCAAGATTTGGATGAAAAAAATTACTCACCTCAAGTTAGCTTAAGTTAGCTGGAAGGATAGAAGGAAGAAGTTGAAAGGAGACACCTTAAAACGTTATTCATTAAGAAACTGTAGTCTTGCAAAGAAACAAAGACAGAAATATTTTGTAAAAAACAAACAAACATGATTTTAAGGACCCCCCAGTCCCAAAAAGTAGTAACGTTAACTTATTTCTTTCTTGCTTACAAGTTAGGGGAACAAGTAAGGCTAACGTTAATTATCTTGTGTGCAAATGATTATTTACTGTGGATTAATATGCACATTTAAGATTTCTACAGTAGTGCAAACTGTGTAGTTGTTATGTAGAGATATTTCCATTAACTGCTTTTACTGTTAACCTGCAAACTGGGCCGCACTCCGTTCTCCACAAAATGGCCACGGGGCTGGGGCCTATGTTCCTCAACGGTAGTTTATGGGGGGTTTACCCATAGATATATACACATAGATATGCCGCACCCTGGCTTGTGGGATGCGTCAATACCGCCGCCATCTTGCCTAAGTGCTCTGACCGGTTCAGACCTGTGTCAGACTCGGCAAAAATGCCACATTTTTGCTCTGCATTTGGGTGTACAAACGAGAGAAGTGTTAAAACCAAGCAGAAGGGAATAACATTCCACAGTTGAAGAAGTTGTTTTACAATATTTTACTGTTACGAACATGTTTAATGAGATATATATATCTCAAAAAGTGATCCTTCTTTTAAGCTAATCAAGTAAAGTAACTGTCCTGATCTGGTCCTAATGCCAAATTAAGCTAACGCTATGTCACACAACTTAAAGAAAAAAGGTTAACATTTAACGTTATATAATATTACTTATAAAATTATGATGCTTTGTCAAACAGCTATGTCGGCGTATGTGTTATTCCAAATTGTCAACTATCTGTTTCATGGCACCAACGTCACATAACGCAGTATAACGTTAGTAGTTAACTTGTGGCCTGAATTGTAACTACAAATTATGTGGAACTGCGTTTTTCTGACACACTTATTTTGTGTGTAGTTTCCCAAAAACACACAGATAGGAGACGGGCATGGGTAGCAGCAGTGAGGAGAAAGGACTTTGTCCCGAGTGACTCCTCAGTCATCTGCAGCTGTCACTTCAGACCTGAGGACTTCGACAGGACTAGGCAGACTCCTAAAAATAATACTAGCTACTGTACACTGTATTTTTTGTAAATATGACCTAATAATGTAAACAGTTCTGTGTCCAGGCTCCCACGAGCACTGTGGTGTTATACATATGAGATTAAAGCAAAATTTTGTGTAAACATGCAGCTCTAAGTCATTTATTTTCACTTGTACAAAACCAACAGTTATTAATCAGAATATACACTGCAGCTCGGCACAACCCTGCTGATACACTATTTTTTGCACATTGTGTGAAATGTGAATAAACATTTATAGTCAAAATTAATAATTAAATGACATCGTGGTGGGCATTGTACATCTAGTAAGAAAAAAGAATATGTATTACATGGGGAAAGTTTAGTTTAAATGTGTTGTAGAACTACTACTGTTACTTTATCTACATAAGATCAAATATTTTGGTATGAAAAGCTGCATTTTTTATTTAACCAAGTATCCTGTATCATAACTACATGTCTGACAATTGTAACAAACCAAACCGCATGAAAATCGGTTGAGAATTCAGCGAGTAATGATGATTTTAATCATAAATAATCCCCCTGCGCGGCTCCACCTGGGCAAGATGGCGGCCGCGTTGACGTATCGCTCCAATGAGGAGCACCGTTGAATGCGGCATCAACGTATATATATCGATGGGGTTTACCAGTTACCTAATGGCAGACATTCCCGCTAGATAGCAGACATGGCCACATGTAAAACACATAAAGTTAACAGCAAGGGCCGCTAACGTTAATTTCAGGAGGCATGAAAAATTTGTGTTTTTTTCCCTTGTGTGTACAAGTCTATGGAGACAAGTTAGGCTAACGTTTATTTTCTTGTGTGCATACGATAATTTACTATGAACGAATATGCATCACTAACGATGTCTTCGGTGGTGTAGACTGTGTAGTTATTATTATGTTGGGATATTTTCTTACTGCCCTTACCTGTAGCCTGTTAACTGGACCTCACTCCGTCCTCACCAAAATGGCCGCCGCTCCGGGGCCGCTCTGTTCCTCTGCGGTAGTTTATGGTTGCTTAGCAACTTCAGAACGCCATGGGAAGAAGAAGAGGAGAATGGCTGGGGACCTGTAAAGATACCTGACAAGGATACCGTGTCTGGAAACATTTCCGTCTCAACCTGTTGTTAATTAAGACTTAATTTAAATATTGTAGCAGCTGGTGTTTGATTCTCTCTGCTCGTCAGCTTTACTCTGTGGATTTTAACCGGGATTTGAACTGTTAGTTAGCTGTTAGTCGGCAGAGCTGGTCATCTAATTATCCAGGCTAACGCTCATTAGGATCCTGCTGCAGCTCAGCTGTTCAGATATGTATGTATAAGTCATTTTCCTTGCTTTTATCTGTTATTTATTGCACACACCACCTGCTGTGGAGTGAATGTGGAGACATGGGGTCAGAGTCAGTGAAGGTGGTGGTCAGGTGCAGGCCCCTGAATGACAGGGAGAAGGCTCTGGGCTCTAACATGGTGCTGTCCATGGACCTGCACCGCTGCCAGTGCTTCATAGAGAAGCCCGGGGCGGTGGATGAGCCACCCAAACAGTTCACCTTTGATGGGACCTACTTCATTGATCAGACCACTGAGCAGATGTACAACGAGATCGCCTATCCTCTGGTTGAGGTAAGCTCCTGGAACCACTCTTGATTCTGTTTGTTTTCAGTGCCAGTACACAGCAACAGTGTTCAGATCCAGGCATTATAAAAGTAGCACGCTGGTCACTGGACACCTCCAGTTCAACAGGCTATATCTTATTGCTAATGACTGCAGACCTCATTATTTACTCATTATTTAGTCTGCTGTCAGTCACTTACAAGGGTCAGCAGGGTGTAGGTCCTTTTAAAGAAGCCTCACACAGAAACTCTTTCATTCCACATATATTTTTATTTTTTACAGGGTTTCACTGAGGGATACAATGGCACAATCTTTGCCTACGGACAAACTGGAAGTGGGAAGTCTTTCACCATGCAGGGAGTATCACATCCTGCAGCCCAGAAGGGGGTCATCCCACGTGCCTTTGAGCATATCTTTGAGAGTATTCAGGTAGGTTTGGCAACTGTTGTTAATTGTGCAACATATTT